GTTCCCTATGGGAGGGGCGCTGGTTTCATATAACTACATCCGATATTTTTCCATGTGCCAGACTTTCTCTATAGAGGCTCTTGGTCAGACCAAGCCATGTGAATTGGATCTCATGGAAATAATGGGGATTTGCTGGGGGGGTTGGACTAGATGACTTTTAAAGATCCCTTCCAACCAAACTATTCTATGATTTCCTGTACTGAAAACATGTGCTTTAAGCTCCCTTACTTTTCTTACACTTGAATTTTTTTTTAACTGGCTACTTTTACTTGCTTCTGATGGTTTAAAGAAAAAATTTTTTTTTCTTTCTTTTTTCTTTATTTTAATTCTGTGTGATCCTTAGAATATTTATACAATACGAAGAAGACAGGTGACTTTGCAAAGTAAGTATGCTGTTTCTGTTTTAGCTAATAGCACAAAATAGGTTGCAGAAAGAAAATGTTGTGAGTGTGCTGACTGCTCCACCACATACTTTGACTTTTTAAAAATCTCATTAATAGGAAACTTTGCAAAAACACATTAAGAAATCCTGCAACTTATCATTAGTTAGTAAGCAAAAATGAGCATAACTGTCAGTTCATTGCATTAGAGGGTGTGCAAACTTCAAGTGTGGGTTGTCTCATAAGTGGAAAAATGATTCATTATCAGTCGTGTTTAAATAAGTGTTTTTGCATATTTTACATTTTTCCAGTGAGATGGTTGATTTAGCTATCTGCTCTTCTGTGTTTCTATTGTCTGTTTTTTTGTTTAACAGCATGGTTTTTACTCTTTTGTGCAGCTTTATTGCATATTGGAGACCGGAACATGTGGGGAACCATAGTGCCCTGGAAGAGGAGACCCATGCAGAGGAAAACATTTATATAATACACTAAGGGCTGTACGCGTGCTTGCCTTTGTCATCATTGGGACATGAAATAGTTTGCAAAATGTTAGCTGCTCCGTCTGCTCAGCAGCTAAACGTGACTGGATAACTGAAGCATTATTCATGTCATTCTAATAAAACAAATAAAAGCTATGCTACTAATTAAAAACTTTATCAGCCTGTTCCAGAAACAGAAACCCTACTGGCTTGAATGGAAATTTCCAGAATCCACTTATCAAACCCCAAAGAAAGTTACCATTGTATTTATGATCTGCTTCAAATTCTCTCTTCCTTTTTGGGAAAAAGAGGCAGTGCCAGAATGGCTGCTCCACCACAACAGGAAAACCACACATGTTTTTTAAAAGTTTCTCTTCACTGTGTATTGCATCTGCCAGCTACAAAAGAGTCCGTGCCATCAGAGGGCAGCAGCACTCTCATAGCTGCCACGACAAAGACAACACATGGGAAAACTTGGTACTATTAGTATTTCAATACACATTTAGTTGAATTTTTGTTGAAGTCAGGCATACCCAGTCCTGGTAAGAGCTCAGTAATGCAGTGTACTAATTCCTGTCCACCCACAGTTAAATCTGGAGGAGCTATTGATGCTTCCCCGCCTCATGGGATGTCCTTGGAGCCCACATGATCAGTACTTTAATGTGCAGAATATTCACAGCTTGTTTGCAGAGAACTATGACCAAGTGTGTTTTCCTCTGCAAAATACATCGCATTTTCTGTGGCTTTCTCCTTGGGCCCACCTATGACCTGCGAAGTCCTCAGGGTGGAAAGTTTCACTTCCAAGCCTCTAAAAAACTGAAAAAAAAATAACTATGTTGTAAAATTAATTACATTCTTATTCTTCTTAGCTTGTGGAGAAGTCATGGACATTGCAGAAAACATTGGCTGAAAGTTTGCTCTGCCTTTGCACCCTTCTAGATACCAAACAACTCTAATGTCTTACGCTGGATTTGTTTGATGGCTCTTAGCTCATAAAGGGGGAGTATCTGTGGCCTAGTGCCTTTCCTCCATTTCTCCTCAGTTAGACACGGCTCTTGGATTTTGTTCTCTGCAACACTAAATTTTGGTTTACTTCAGTGAATGGAGGCAGCCCCATGAGTATGAATCAACACTTTATGCATTTTTAAGCAAAAGACACAACATACCCAAATCAGCGCTAAGTGGAAGAATAATTTTCCCCAACTGTTTTTAAGAACGTATTTTTAAACAGAGGCTGGGACGTCCTGAAAGAGCAGAAAAGCAGTACAGGCAGGAGAGAGATGAACTCTTACCAAATATTGGTCAGTACAAATTTTGCCCTGAAGCTCATCCGGAGCAGCAGTGTGGGATGCCTAAAGCAGACATCGCTGCCACAGGGAAGGCTTGCAGATTTACCGGGAACTTTCTGTTCTGACTTCACCATTTCCAAGGGAGGCCTGTGAAGAACGAAGCTGTATTATCCAACGAGGCGTAAAGGAGCAATAATAAAATCAGAGGTATTTATGTTCCCAGCTGAGACACTTGGGGCCACGGTCTGGTTGTGCTGTAAGGGGAGCTGGGGTCAGTGGAGCAGTTACCCATCCTTCCCCCGGCTGGTAGAGATGGGAGGGCTTGAGCGGGCCGGGGAGGGAGCGTTTTCCCCCAGGAGTCCTGGAGAGCCTGGCTAAGGCGGGATAGTGCAGGTGAGCGTGCTTGCAAAGACTCATGAAGGAGGGAACGACTCCTCATCCTGTGGACAAAGGAAGAAAGGGAAAGCAAGTTGGGAAAGGTGACCCTGGTGTGCTTTGTGTTTTCACTCGTGCTGTGCGTTGTCTTGGGGCTGTCTGTTGGAGCAGGCCTAAAAAGATTGAAAATGTGGAGGTGAACTCATGTTTGACCGAAGAGCTCTCCGTATCTGAGAGCACAGATACTAAGCGATTACTGATCCCTAGGCCAGGAAAGGCGGTGGAGGAAACCGGCGCTGCCATTTTCTGTCCTCAAGTCCTGTGTTGCCTTGTGTAAGAAGGTATGGAAACTGGAAAGAACCCGCTAGTGTTAGACTGTGCTTTTGTATTTGACTATCAGTTACAATTGCTAAACTAAAATGACTGACCCACTGTAGACGTTGCTTTGCTTCTGCCTGGCTGAGCACATCGCTGCTGTGGGCTCTAGCCCATGACCGGCACTGCAGGAAGTCTGAGCTGGTCTCTGACCTACATCTCAGAAAACATCTTCAGCAATTTCTGCTTTCTGCAACTTTTACCAGTTCAGACTCTACTAGGATCAGAGTTAGACAAGTGTGACGTTTCCAAAATTACCTGATTCCAACCACTCATGCTGTTAAGGAGTTTGAGCACATCCTTGAAGATTGCTAAACATGAAAACTGTTTACCCATAAGGATTTTTTTCTCAATATTACAGAATAAATCAGACTAATTCTTATATTAGAGAGTTTTCATGCAAAATAAAGTTCTAGAATATCTGATAACCAAAATCTCAACTACAGTTTCCTTTCTTCTGTGCAGTTACTTGGTGAACAGATTCTGCAAATGTTGTGCAGAGCAAAAATTTTGCCTTGGATATGCAGTATAATACATAGAAATACATGCAGGCAGAAGCTCCCTGTACTTTTTCATTACTTCCACTCATGTCAGTGGGTCTTGGAAGAGGCATTTCAAAATGAGCCCCAGAGATGTGCAAGTAGCACTTGGAGCCTGTTCACCCATTAAGAGATTATCCAGCTGCACAAAAACTGGCAGCACATTGAGCGTGATAAGGCTAACTAACGAGCTGCAAACGGATTTTTTTTTTTTGAGAGAGCTCTCTGCCTTTTCTGCCTGCAAGAAGGCACTAGATAGCAGTGCAGAAGCAGCAAGCAAGCCCTATTTTTCTGGTTCTTCCCAGCACACTTGGATTTTGTGTGGCCTTTTTCAATTCATTCTGCTGCATTTAGCCCAGTCTTGCTAAAGAAACAAAGCTGACGTGATGCTGTGTTCATCCTCTTCCTTCCCTAGTCACCTGCAACATACCAACCAATTCTGTTATGACAAGCTTCATGGAAATTGGTGGCTGGATAAAGATCCAAATTTGTGCTCCAGTGGGATTCACGTATTCCTTGCACTGGCATCAGCTGGGCATAGGCTCACAGCCACTGCTTAATGGTGAGTGATGGGAGACAAAAACTGTGGTCACTGCAGGGAAGAAGTCTCCAGGATATTGGCCACATCACGTTTCATTAGTTCTGTTCACAGAACAGCTGGGGCTGTGTGTGCTTGGCATTGTATGAACGGTACCTGGTAGAATATAGCAAATTAGATATTTTACTGATTGCTGGTTAACCTGCCTGATAACGTTGACAATAAGGCACTGCTGTATTCTTGTGTCTATCCCCCCCGGTTGCTGTTTATGCTGCACTGAAGCATGTGAGGATGCAGAGCAGCATCGGATCATCACTTTGATTCAGAATAGTTCTCTGAGCTTCACGCTGCTTGAATCTGCTAAGTTGGCTACAGCAGCATCAGCTGGCTATACGCTGGTGAAAGACACCGGGCATCCTGGCTTTGCTGGAGCCTGGTCTGTTGGGGATCTACTTCTCGCCACTGTAACGTAGTGCTGGTGTGAGGGATGAGGATGCTAATGAGACGTAGCCTCCTACTCCAATGTACTACTGAGTCCAACAGGTCTGCAAGCACAAGAGTCCTTCTCTGAAGCAGTGTTGCGGGGGATAACAAACAGCTAATCCCTCTCCAACCTTCCTGTGCTACTCAAGTTTTTGTAGACCTGTTCATGGTGCCCCTTAGGTTATCCCTTTTCCAGGCTGACTCATCCTGGACTACCCATCTAGTCCTCCTGTGGAAACTCTTCCATACTTTCCATCATTCTTTTTGCCCTTACTGGAACATTTTCCGGATCCAACATATGCTTTGAGGCGACTAGAACCATACTTAGGATCCAAGGTAGATTTGTACAGTGGTATAATTGTGTCTTCTGCTTTGTTTTCTATTGCTTTACTAATAACTGCTAAATTTTATTTGCCTTTTTTAATGCTACCAAGCAAAGGGGTGATACTTTCCTGGGCTTGACTACTCATGATAAGCCCAAAGTCTCCTCTCTCAGGAGAATCTGGTTAAAGCCTGTAATTTCAGCATTTGGATTTGGAATTGCTTCTCCCATTTGCACTGTGCTACATTTATTTGCAGTCTGTCTGCAATTCTTAATTCCTGACCTTAATGTTTAATTACTTTTGCTTTATTACTCATTTTTTCCATAGAACTTCTTTATCAATTGGTCAGAAAGCGTAAAAGAAAGTCAGAAAAATTAAAAAGTACTTCTTGGAGTTGGTGTTGCATATCTCTGGGAAGGATGTTGTTTTGGCAAGAAAACATTTGTGAGAGTCTCTCCAAGGCTGTCTTTGCAAATAGAAAATATGAAGCTGGTAAAAGAAAGAGGGGGGTCTTCAAGCAGAAGGCAGAATCAGGGAAAATGAAGGGATTAAGAAAATATAATCAAAGACAAAGTCAGAGGTGGAGACTAAACCAAATATTTAGGAGTATAAGATCACGGAGCTTGTTCTTCCTGCTCAGCACTACAGAACAGCAATAGATATTAAGAGATCCATGGAAAGGCAAAACAAATAGTATATTGAAATTTCTGGTGGGAATACCATGCCAAATGTCCTGGAAGAGGAAGGAAAGTAGGATAGAATGGGATAGGATAGAATAGTTCAGTTGGAGGGGACATACAATGATCATCTAGTCCAACTGCCTGACCACTGGGCTGACCTTAACATCCTTCTTAAATTGTGGGGCCCAGAACTGCACACAGTACACAAAGTGAGGCCACATCATTGCTAAATACAGAGGAGAATCACCTCTCTTAACCAGCTTCTAGCCGGAAGCGTAGGAAAGAAGCAGTTGCAGTACATAAAATCTGGAAATGGAGAAATGAGACTTCAGTAGGGCTCACTCAGCATCTCAGGAAAGTGTGAGATCTAGTTTTCTCTCCTTCCACTCACTGCCCTGGAGTCTCCATCAG